GATTTGAACCGCCGAACTGCAGCTAACAATCAGCTGAAGTGGCCTGCAGTACTGCACTCTAACCACTGCGCCACCTCAGCTCCTTTATTAGAGAGGATGTAACCTGCTCCCAGTAAGCACACAAGTCCAATTCAAAACCCTGGTTTAAGCTACTAAACCCAACATGGAGCCCTGGTGGTGCAGTATTACAGGCAAACTCTGCCCACAGTCTGTAGTTCAATTTTAATGGGGTTCAAGGTTTACTCAGCTTTCCATCCTTCCAAGGTCTGTAAAATGAGGACTCAGATTGTTAGGACCAATATGCTGACATTGTATACTACCTAAAGAGTGTAAGTATATAAGTTTAAATACTATTGTATTGTTTAACGGCTGCATTGCTGTTGTCCTCATCTTTTCATCTTCTCAACTTTTGCATCTTCTCATCTTACCTAATATCTTCTCCTACTGGTATTTTATGATTTATGATTGTATCTTATGATTTATGATTGTATCTTATGATTTATGATTGTATCTTATGATTCATGATTGTATCTTATGATTTATGATTGTATCTTATGATTCATGATTGTATCTTATGATTCATGATTGTATCTTATGATTTATGATTGTATCTTATGATTTATGATTGTATCTTATGATTTATGATTGTATCTTATGATTTATGATGCATGACTTACTTTGCTGTTTGTATGTTCGCTGAGAATTTATGCACCACAGACAAATTTCTTGTGGGTCCAATCACACTTGGCCATTGCTATTGCTACCTCTACTTTCAGGTCTCTTTTCTCCAACTATAATCAGCCAATCCTGTCTGACCATCCTGATTAGGGATGCTTACGGACCACACCCCATAAGAAATAAAAAGAATAAAGAATCAAAGGCAAACGTCTTATAGATGACCTTAATAGTCTTCTCCCAATATTGTCCATCTGCCTGACTTTCTTGAAAGCTATAACAACGGACCTGTTTCAACAAGCATTCCAGTGTGGTACTAGACCTCATTTTATAGGGATTAGGTTTATGGAGGAGATATTTGTCTTTAAATAAGTAACAGCTTGCTTTAACGGAGAGCTGAGGGATAATCTGATTAAGTGATGTGTGTTGTTCTTCTAAACTGCCAAGATTGTGTGTGCACACACTGGCAGTTTTAACAGATTTTTGTAATAAGTAATCAATAAAATATAGTTTAGAATCACAATCCTAGATTCACAGCATATACTGGCTTCAAATCAAAGCAAATGTTTAGTTGCCTAGTTGCTTACGTCAGATAGACAGACTCTTGCCAGATTAAACCTAGACATACTTTGGGAGATTGTAGGGAGTGGCTACCCTAATTCTCTTCCTCTGTCTCCTATACAGTTCACTGAGTTTTGCCCATTTTGCAACCTTTCTTGTCACAGTTATTAAGCGAATCACCGCAGTTGTTAAGCTAGTCATATAGTTTTTACGTGAATCTGGCTTCCCCCATTGACTTTGCTTGTCAGAAGGTTGCTAAAGGCGATCGCGTGAAACTGCAACTATCATAAATACATGCCAGTTGCTAAGTATTTGAATTCTGATTACGTAGCCATGAGGATGCTGCAATCATTGCAAGTGTGGAAAAAAGGTCAAAAGTCCCTTTTTTCAGTACCATTGTAACTTCAAACCAGGGGTGGGTTTCAACCGGTTCGCGGCGGTCCCTGCGAACCGGTTGGTCGGTGAACCTGGAAGTAAGTAACGCCGAAGGATCCACCCGCCCGCCCGCGTTTCTTACCCGGTTTTGACAAGTTCTGTGCTTCCACGCATGCGCAGAACGCATACAGCGCCTGCGCAATCCTCCAGGAGCAGCTGGAGCA